CCCAGATCAGGGCTACCAGGGGGTACCACTTAGACCATTGTACCCCACAGTTTTAGGGTACATCCAAAAACCGGGTAAAACTGTGACAGAGATAAGTGGATTAAGTGTCACACTGAGGGGAGGAGATGTATGGGAGGTAACTACTGTACTATTGGCTACTGTCCCAATTATTGTAAATCCCTCCCTTGCATGGGAGAAGCCTTTATAAGGAATCTGTGTGATTAAAAGTTCAGTTCTGCTCCTGATGCTGTGTCGTCCAGTCATTTGGATTGAGGTTGGGATATTGTTGGAGTGTTTTGCCTGCTGGAAATATTACCTTCTGGATTTATAATACTTGTTCCTGAGCCTTACTGGAATCTAAAGTGGAGATAAGCTGTGTAAGAGCAGCTCTCCGCTACAGCAGTCAATGCACTTTTTTGTATCCCCCCTGAAACAAGACTCACCTTTTTCTTCTAGATTCGCTCCTAAGGGAGATGGGAGAAGAAGCCATCTTTAAAAAACAAAACAAAAAACAGTTCATATAATTTCCATTAGAACTTATATATAATGAACTATTTTATATGAGGCAATAATCTATAAATTTAGAAAGAAGAGAAAAAAATAGTACAAATGTAACACTGAAAGAAGGTATAGGAATTTGAACTTAGAGTTTTTGCAACAATTAAATTTTCCCAGTAAAAGTACTATGCTGCAATATGTTTTTCTACCACTAGATGGTGCTGCGCATGCTCATTATGGTTTTAGCGCGTCCGTCGAACTGCGCATGCACACAATTTAAGAAAGCTTAAATAAGGTATTTTGAAGTTGCAGCCGCCATCTTGGATTCTGGGGACCTGAAATCAGAGCACAGCCAGGCTGTAGGGGCTCCTAACTCACCTAAAATGTGACCAAGAATGCGGCAACCAAAGGTAAGTTGATGGTTTCCCACACTCCTTAGGAAAAAAAGGGGGAGAGAAGGCTATTTTTGCCCTCCTGCATAAACTGGTATTTTATGAGACATTATTCCCATGGTGGCAGGGCCGTTTGAAGGAATTTGGGGCCCCCAAGCAAAATGGACATGGAGGCCCCCCCCCAACCACCCCCCCACATGCACGCAAAGCCTACAGGAACCACAGCATACAGCATAGCCATACAGTTTAAGTTCACCCACACTTTATATAAATAAAAAAATTTACAGTGCAAATACTTCTGTTGCATATAATGTGCATAAAATTTTAACATTTTCAACAATTGAACATTTGCAAAAAACACCACTGTACCTTAAAATCAAATATACATTAAAAAAGTGCACAATAACTAAATCCAACATACTTAAAACACACACACACACACATTAAAAATTTTCAGTTCTCACAAACATGCAACTTATCTAAAACTGCTCCCCAGTGTCCTTCTTACTCCCCTCTCCCCTCCCTGTGTCCTTCTTACTCCCCCCGTTTCCTTCTTACTCCCACCTCCCTGTGTCCTTCTTACTCCCCTCCTCCCCTCCCTATGGTTTTTTTACTCCCCTCTCCCCCTCCCATGTTTTTTTTTACTCCCCTATGTTATTTTTACTCCCCCCCATGTTCTCAGTTCTCACCTCCCTTTCCCTGTAGCGTGGCCGAGCTCCTCTTCCTCCTGGCTGTCAGTCCGGCCAGGTACCGTGCGGTAACAGGAGATTCAGTTTCCTGTTCTCGGCCGGACTGAAAGGAAGTGAACACTCAGTGTGCACTTCCTGTCAGTCCGGCCGGGAATAGGAAACTGAATCTCCTGTACCGTGCGGTACCCGGCTGGACTGACAGCCAGGAGAAAGAGGAGCTCGGCAACGCTACAGGGAAGGGGAGGTAATGAGAGAGGAGTGCTGCAGCCACCTGAGGCTCTCTATAGAGCACTCAGGTGGCTGCAGCCTTAAAGTAAGCACCAGTTCTGCTTGGGGCCCCAGGCCAGCTCGGGGCCCCGAGCAATTGTTTGGTTTGCCTGCCCGGTATCGACGGGTCTGCATGGTGGAGTCTCTTGTGCTAACAAGGGACTCAAACCAGTTAGTGCTGCCAACACAGCCTGTTTACTGGTTTCTTCAGAGTGAGAGAGGCTTCTATTAACTATTTTTAATTGTTTGATTCATTATTCCTGTCCTTACAGCTAGGGAGGAGCTAACCCATAAGTGATACTGCCATGTTTGGCCAGAAAAACAGCATAAATTGGGGAAACAGGTGACTCATTGTGAATAAAAAGTAAAAAATATAGATGTTGTTAATCATTAAAACTCGAATTACACCAAGCCGAGTCTTGCCATGGTTCTTGTGGTTTTGTGTGTGTACTGGGACACAGAAAGTCACATGGTAATACAAATACATGAAAAATAGTGGAGCAGAGCAAAAGAAAGGGGTGGGTATATGAGGGCGGCAGCTAGTCCTATTAGGAAAATACCTTAAATAGGAATAACCTCTCAATAAATATGTGAACAAGTAAGCTGCATACCACAACCACATACAAAAATGATACAATTTTATGTACAAAGATAACAACCAACCAATACAATTTAAAAATATAATTTATTGATCCTTGTATATATAAAAGGCTATTCTTTTTAGCAATGTTTGCAATTTCTGTTAATTTAGTTAAAAAAAAACAGAAATACATTTAAAACTGAAAAAAATTATCATAATTCCATATAAGAAAAAAATACTGAGCTTTGCACTTCCCTGTAATAATGTCCAGTTTCTGAGGTAGTTTAGTGAGAAAAATAATTTTTACTTCCTTTTGGTGAGTAAAGCAGGGTAGTGACAACGTGTTTTCCAGTACCAACCTGACACAGGACAGTGAGCGTTATTAAGAGAGAAGTGCAAGTTCCAGTATTTTTTTATGTTTTTTTAACTACATTAACAGAAATCGCAAACTTTGCTATAAAGAATAGCCTTTTGTATATAACAGGATCAATTAATTAAATGTATAACTTTGATTGGTTGGTTATTTTCTTTGTACAACAAAAGTATATTTTTTGTATGTGGTTGTGTTACACAGCTCAGTTGTTCTCATATTTATTGACAGAGGGTATACTTATTTTAGGGAAAGCACAGTCACATTTTTCTTTATATAGTCATATGGTAATAATTATTCTTTCAGCATTTGGTAGCATTTGATATCCTTTGATAGCATTTGTCTGTGCTTCCTTTTATATATGTTCACTGTGCCTTTTCAACAGCTCCTTATGGAAGAGCGGGCCATTAATGCAGGTGTCACACAAGTTGGGTATATTAACAATAACAAGAGATAATGACTGATGACTAGAGGAAGAGATAGGAATGGGTTTTCCAGTCAGATGTTTGTCCAGGTGGAGATATAGGCATATTCCCCTGGCTTTCACCACTGTGTAGCTATGATGGCAGTTAATGAAGAACGAGATGGTAGAATGCTGCCTCTACTGCATGGAGGGATAAATAAAGAAGGTTCCTAGCAGGAAGAGATCATTGGATTATAGTACTGACCCAAAGCAAAATATTGAGTGTGATCAGGTGCAGAATGTGAGTTGCCCTTGTGAGATGATGATGTGGAGTTGAGGTTCTAATTTCCCTGTTAACAGGTCCAATATTTTTGTCTTATAAAGCTCCATCACTATGTAAGAAGAGTGCATTACACAGATTTTTCGGGAAAGAAAATCTTCTTTAATGAAAGAGGAGAAGTTCCGAGTAAATATTTTCTACTTAATATCAAGGTCATAGAAAATAAGGAGAGTTTTAAAATAATACAATATGATGTCGGTGTCTTAGACATGTCACTTGCTAACGATCAGCCACTTCATATTAAACAAGAAAAAATTATTTGGAAAAATGGCAAAGTAAGTAATTTATTAAGCATTCCCACTGAATAATAAACAGATGCAATGGATGATATTACCGGTTAATCTTATCGATTTGCCATAATTATAAACTATTGTAGTATAATTACATAATTAGTCATAGAAATGTCACAGAATATTTCGGCATGGTTTATTTAAAAAGCAAATAGAAATAAAGCAATGAACCTATGATCAATCTGTGCGAATGCTCGGTACGAGTCATATAAGATTGTATTATCCGTTTCAGCTGCAACAAAATGTTGAAAAGACTAATATTCACTTAATTACCCCAAGATTTGAAAAAAAAATAGTCACAGATGGGGTGGAGTTTTTGAACTTTCATGGAGTCGGATGTGTGAGCCATCAGCTCTCTCTTCCCCGAGCTACTAATCCACCTCAATCAACATTATTGGGGAAATTTTTCAGGCTCTCTTACCAGAGGCCTCCAAACAATAGAACAAGCCCATCAGGCTTTACGCTCCCCAGTGTCTAACACCTCAAACCCGAGAGATGTAATAGTGAAGCTACTTCACCAAAGAAAAACTGATGAAGATTGCAAGGGTCAACCCTCCAACCGTCCAAAGTTAGACTCTACAGTTCTAGTAGGACATAGCTCATTCTACCCTCAGGAAGAGAAGGGAACTCAAGCCATTTACCGTTGCCCTAGTCCAACAGGGCTGACAATATATGTGGGGACACTCTTTTTGACTCACTGTCCACAAGGACAATCAATCCTTTCCTCTCAAAAAAAGTAGCTGCTATGCAGGTCTTCACTGACCACATGGAACCTACCCTCATTGTATATAATGATGTAGCAGCTGTGGGAGCATGACTCCCCTGACACAGCAAGCAATGTTAAGTGCCTCTACTTCCCAGCCATCAAAAATGTAAGTGGCCTACTCCTGCCACCAGAAGCCATTCAACGTCAAACACCTGACTCATCTAGCCCACCACCAAGAGCTTGTCTCTGGAATGATGGTTCCCATCAATCCTGATCCTCATCCCAAGGTTATAGGGTTCAGACCTTGTTGTTGTTCTGGTTTATTTTTATAATTGTTACATGCATATTATCTTTACTTGGTACCCCAAATTAGCACCTATTGCCTTCACTCATGCACAGACAGACAAACCGGTAAATTCCCTCTCTCCTCATTACAGCGGGCACCCGCAATAAAAGTGACTCCCTATGCACTCCCAAACCTTGCTACATCACCTGGTTTCCCAGCTAGCAGAGGAGACTGGGAAGAAGTTCCTTGATGCAACCCTTTCCAGGTAAAAAAAAAAAGTGACTTCCGAGCCGCACAACCAAAATGCAACACCAGGCCTAAATCCACCTTACAAGACAACGTCAGATGAAATTGGGCCTGAAATTCGCAGTATCCTAGCCTTAACCCTGACAAAATTTTCTCCCCATCATAATACTGTTTATGCCTGTAATTCTGGCTAATATAACGTTTTGTGCAATTTCATTGTTAGTTTTTTTGGTTTTTTTTACCTTGTTTACATTTTTTAATGTCTATATGCAATGTAATGTGTCACTACACCATGGTACACCCACACATTTGGGTCCCACACTTGAACTACAGGCCAGGCATCGGGCCTAAAACTTAATTACACCACAGCATTAGAAAAAAAAAGAAATGAGAACTGGTACCAGGACTCACAGTGCCTCTTAATAACATAATACAGCCAATCAGCATCAGCAGGAGTGGTTTTCAATTGCCAAGAATGATCTAAGATGCAATCTCGTTGGTAGGTTAACCGCAGCTTTGCGAGAAATACTGGGCTTGCAGTTTTCAGTTTTCAGTTTTCAATCCCAACCTAGTCTCCCGAATTTGAAAAAGCTTATGAGCCCTTTCAAAATCATACTGACCTTCAAAATGTATGTATAAATCATATTAGAATATGTACATTAAAATACATATTTGTTTGGTATTAGAATTGGAACTTTTAACATCTATGATCCTATGAAAACTTTAAAGGAGAGTAGATTGGGCTTAAGGCAATTTTTTGTCATCAAAAAAGTGAATCATGTGTAATAGTGAGTGGAGCAAAATACCACTTTGAGACAGAGAAATCAAAAAAATGTATACAAACTATTTGAATGTATGATGAATCTTCCAACAAATGATGATGTATATAAAGGAAGAAAAAACACAATGATAGTGCAGATCGTTTGCAAAAAAGATGTAAACATATACACATGTAATAAATTATGAGCTGAGAATCATCTCTTTAGTAAATTGTTTGAAAGGCTTCAATGAGAAAAAATAACATTGATTTATTGTCTGCCACATGCAGGGATAAAATTACATATATACATAGATTGGAATAAGAGTGATAGAAAAAATAGGGTGGTAAGCCCCTTACTAGATATGGTGGTGAGTATGACAAATATATGTCTACTCACTACAAAAAAAGTGAATCATATTTGTTGTTTAAGTTAGTAGTCAGAACTTGGACATAATATATTTCATGAATAGAATAAGTTTTGCAAAATAGGTAGTAGGGAGCATCAAGTTGTTTCGGGTAAAACACTAATTTAGTCGAGAGGTGAAGAATTTAAATAAACTTATAAATAGAAGTGTACCTCATATTCCCCATCTCAAATAAGTAGATAATAATTTTGTTTATCCCAGACTATTAACCCCATCAGAAGAAGCCAGAAATAATATTTATTTGGAGAAAAAATATACACATCTCACTTAAAGGGTAATTCAGCCAGTATTATATTAGTTTGATGCTTCTGATATATTAATGGACTCATTTCATAAATAGACTAAGATCCACTTGCTACATATTACATAGAATAGATTCGATACGAAGTAAAAATTATAATGAGGAAAAAGAAAGTATAGGCTAGATAAAAGGGGAAAAGGAGAGTCCTTCATTAAGTCCTTTTGGACTTAGGGTTTTCAGTTTATATATCCACTAGCATTCTCTGTGTCTTAGGTGTCTATCATAGTCACCTCTTCTTAGATCTGTCTTGACCAGTTCAAGTCTGCAGGACCTCAGTCCCTTGAATCATTATTGAATAATGTATCTATATTTTTTGCATATATTTAATTATATACATGTTTAATTATACACACGTTGTTTCCATCCTTACCCTTTCTTTACTGCTGTTTTTTGTTTGTGTGTTTACATCCATGTTTTGGACCCCATTTTACATTGTACTGGAAGTGAACCTTGATCTGTTTTACATAATTCTGTGCAATATTTTGTGTTAGACAGGTATAGTTAGTGTTTAATAAATATTCTATCTGAATACTATTTGATCAGTATCTTGCAATATATGATTAGTATATCATCAAGTCTGTATTACATTCCTTATTCCAGATTCCCAGAGCACGATGTAATGACTTTTGCCCTGCTGGAACCAGGAAAGCCCCCAATGGGGGCTATCACTCCTGCTGCTATGCCTGTGTCTCATGTTCAGAAGGGGAAATATCTAAAAAAGCAGGTACAATGGTGTAAAATGAAGTCATGCCCTGGGTGTGCCTAGAAACATCCTAATTCAGGAAACATAAACATAGAACATGAGAAGAGACAAAGTTTGGTTAGTGCCGCTTTCAGTTACAGAGAGAACCTATACCATTTGCATATCAGACTAATCCCACCCACAATAGAGAAACAAATGCCCAGACAATTGTGTTGGCTTTATTTGAGCCTCATCGGGAAGATGTAGATGATACTCCACAATGAGCAGGGTGTCCACCTCTGTTTTACCCATTTAACTTATCCAGAGCCTGAGTAAATGCATTGCAGCAAAAACAAAGAATATGAGAACTCTGATATTAATCAAAAACTCAGTGAGACCTAAATAGCTTACTCGTCATTTAGGCCCAGTTGTAGGTCTCAATAATTTTGGATAGCAAGTCACAAATATCTTCACACTTTAGCATAACATTAATAAGAAAAACATTGTAAAACATATATTTTTTTAAAATATAACTATAAATTTTATATTTTTAACATATATTTGATTTATTTAATAGATCGTCATTTAACTTATTGCTTTATTTTGTAAATTTTCCCCACATCATTCTTTATTCAAAAAAGCAAGATATATTAACCTTCAAAATTATAAACTGTGAAGGTTTATTTCTTGACAAGATCCTTTCAAGGTTATGAAGGTGATATTATGTTTCAGGAAACAAGCAAATGTACATATGGTCTATTTCTAAAAAAAAAAAAAAAAAAGTGTGTCTGTCAGTGAGTGTGTTTCAAGTCAGTGAGATTGTGTGTCTGTCAGTATGTGTGTGTATATACAAATTTGAGTAAGGAGCACAGCCATAAATTTTATATATATATATATATATATATATATAAATATTTTTAGAGGGGTTCACACTAATGGAATATCTCATTAAGTATTAAACCATTAAGTATTTTTTTTTTTTTGCCTCTCTGGAACAAGTAATCCTGGATTAAGGAGCAACCTGAAAAGTGAATCATAAGACTGCAAGTTACTTATTTATCTTATTATTTACTAAAATTATGCAATGTTAACTGTATGTTTAAGTTGGTAACTTTTAATGGGTTAATTAATGGAGTTAGTTGTACTGACCAGTCTAGATAACTCATTACAGCAATTATACAGCAATTATAGTTCCAACTATTAATTATTAATTGCCTCAGAATGAAGATACGTAATCTTACATTACTAAAAAGCAGAAAAAAAAAAAAAGGGGAAAAAAAAAAATGAGCAACGAGATACTGCAGCATGGGATAATAAAGGATATTAGCAGTATTAATTATTCAACTAGTCAAATATAATCCAATATGAATTAATGATATGACATTATTACTGTTATTACTGCTATTTTTTTTTTCTTTTCCTTTGTTTATATATTATTTAACCTAGGCTGGTATATTAATAAATTAATTGGGAATAGAATAGACTGAATATGTGGACTAATACTAAAGTTATGAATTAATATGTTAATATAATGACTGATACCAAATGGACTAAGGCACATATGTTAAATACATATATATCAGTGAAGGAGTTAAGAGATTATTTATTTAAACATAAATACAGTATAAGAGGTATAAGAGGCATTAAACTATGTTATTATTATGGGGTTTTCCCTTTTTTTTTTTTTTTATGGAACAGATTGAACTTTTGGATTAATATCAAATCTATTAAGTTCAACCTAATATAATGAATGTTAATAATTTAATCTATAGAGGCTAAATAGATATATTAGCGAAGGTTTAAACACACTAAATAAGGTTTACAAGGACACAGGGATTAATGATTGAGTTTAATTCACTTGGGAGAGACATTACTTAAATTTTACTAAGACATATGTATATCCAGCTTAGCCCTGCTTATGGTAATTTGATATTTACTTATCTGTATAGACCTTATTATTTAATAATAGGAAGAGAAACGGATAGGGAAGCGTAGAAAGTAAGTAAGACAGACCTGAGGTAATTTGTGTAGCTGTTATTAAGGTGTATACTTTTTATAAATTATAAATTATACCTTATTATACATATGAATTTTGGGAACTTGAGTGGAGACTGAATATTAATAATTAAATGTTTACACCAACTAACAGATACCAGAATCCATAAAGATATAACAATACGGCTTAGATGTATGTTAATATAAGTGGTAAGCTGGGGTGCTATTTAAATAATTTGTTGCATTGATAAAATGTTTGATGGAAAAGTAGGATGTTATGCTGACCTATACCATTAATGTTTATTAATATTAGGTTATTATGCAATATACTATTATTATAAATGAAGATACATAGGTGTATATTTTCAAGCTAAAGATTAGAGAAGCATAGAACCATAAGTTCTTAAAGAAAGGACTGGACAAGCTTAAATCCTATTCTTAAGAAGTAGTGTTATGATATAAGAATTATCTCTGCATTATATTATTTAGAGGTCGGCCTTATATATAGTAGTGGAGTATCTGTTATCGAGTATTGGTGTCTTTGTTTGAGAGCAAATCTTAGAATTAAATATTTACTATATATATATAATTTTTTTTTTATTTTTTTTTATTTTTTTATATTATTATTATTTTTGGAAATATATAATCTAAATTATTGGGACAGCTAAGCATAGAGGAGCTCAGCGTAGCCGCCTCTATAGCTCTGACCGTTCACATTACCCCCCACCCAAGAAGTGTCATTTGGATACTCTGACACTTATTTAAGTATCACCCTGTTGTCTAGACTTAGTCTATCCATAAGTCATATTCAGGTTGTACTGTATAGCGCTCTGTGCGGCCCGGCACAGCGCTGTACAGACTAACTTCTGAATTTTCTTTTTCTTTTTTTTTTCCTCTCCTCTCTCTCTCTTCTCCGGTCTTCTTATTTCATAGGTCTTAACTAAAACCCACCGGTTTTAAAAGAAAGGGAAAGGAAAAAAAAGGGAAAATGAAAATTTATTCTCATAATGTTAGAGGACTTAATGTACCTCATAAAAGATTCATGATCCTTAAAGAGATTCGGAAATCACAAGCCGACATAATTTGTTTACAAGAGACTCATTTTAAACACAATTCCAAACCAATATTAAATCTGAAGAAGTTTCCATTTCAATACCATGCAACATCCCCTAAGAAAACTAAAGGTGAATCAATTTTATTCAGCTATCGATTATCTTTTGAACAGATAGCAACATATATAGACCCAGAAGGCAGATTTATTATTTTAATCTGTACAATAAATAATATCATATATACTATAGTGAATGCTTATTTTCCTAATGTGAACCAAAACAAATTTATGCGCGCACTTATGAATAAGGTAACTGAAATGCAAACTGGCATTACGATTATTATGGGAGATTTTAATCATATTTTAGATCCTAATATGGATTCAACAGCAAAACATTCAAGGAAAAGGAAGTCATCCTTACATAAGGAATGCAATACTCTTAATAAAATTCTAACAGGTTATGGACTTTATGATATTTGGAGAACATTTCATCCTAATACTAGAGAATATACGCTTTTCTCCTCAGTTCATAACACATATTCACGTATAGATGGTTTTTACATGCATAGCTCGCATTTAGCACAAGTTGAATCTTGTGAGATTGGAGTATCGATAGAATCAGATCATAATCCAGTTATACTTAGCCTAAAGGATCAATATAATTACACAAATAGAAGCAAATGGAGACTAAACGATCAGTTATTAAATGATCCTATATTCTTAGATAAAATTCAACAAGAAATATGCCAATATTTTGATATAAATAATTGCGGAGATATAAACCCAATAACATTATGGTTGGCGCATAAACCTGTAATAAGAGGCCTTTTTATTAGTAGAGCTTCATATCTTAAAAAGTCTAATCAAACAGTCAGGTTGAATCTCTTAAAGAAACTCCAAGATTTCCGTAAACAGAATCAGGCAAGACCATCTGTGTCTCTACAAGATAGCATTCAACAAATACAAAATGATATTAATGAAATCCACCAACGACAAAGTAACATCGCTTTGAAAAAACTTAAGGCGACATCATACTCTATGAGCAATAAAGCCACTAGAGTACTAGCACAGAGACTTCGCGATAAGCAAACTCAATCTAGAATTCCATTTATACTTTCTAAGACAGGACAAAAAATTATTCAGCCAAAGCTGATCTGTGAGGAATTTGCAGCCTTTTATGGCTTATTGTATAACTTAAAAGATCAAAAAAATCTTTCAAAACCAACTTCTAGAGGAATAGGTCAATATTTGGATAAATTAAACTTACCTACTTTAAAGGATTCACAAATGGCACAGCTTACAGCTCCTATTACAAGGGAAGAAGTAATTCAACAAATAAAGAGTATGACTAAAGGGAAAGCACCAGGACCTGACGGTTTTTCCGACCTGTATTATACCCTGTTTAAGGAATCCCTGGCTGACCCATTGACTCATTCTTTTAATGAAGGCACTAAGGCAGGGGAATTCCCTATAGAATTTCTAGTGGCACAAATAATTACTATTCCGAAATTAGGGAAACCCCCCACGGTCTGTCAAAATTTTAGACCAATCTCATTATTGAACATAGACGCTAAAATATATGCTAAAATATATGCGGAAAGATTAAAGTTTATTTTACCTACTTTAATTCATACAGATCAAGTGGGATTTGTGTCAGGTAGACAGGGGTCAGATAATACACGGAAGGTATTAGATATTTACCATTTTGTAAAATCATCCAAGCAGGAAAGCGTTGTATTATCTTTAGATGCTGAAAAAGCTTTTGACCGTCTGAATTGGACCTTTTTATGTGAAACCTTGAAGGCATATAAATTTCCTCCTTCTTTTCTTTTAATTATTAAAGCTCTTTACAGTAATCCCACAGCGACTGTACTGTCTTCAGGATTCTGTTCAAGACCGTTTAATATTACTAATGGAACACGTCAGGGCTGCCCCTTATCGCCGTTGCTCTATGTTCTTGCTTTAGAGCCTTTACTTACAGCTATACGCCAAAATGAAGATATCCAGGGAGTTCAAATAGGGTGGAGCGAATATAAACTCAACGCTTATGCAGATGACATTTTGTTAACAATTACTCAGCCACATATCTCTTTACCAAATTTAAAGAAAGAATTATGTTTATATAGTCAAAACTCGTACTATAAGCTCAATACAAGTAAATCGCAAGCAATGTGTCTTAATATTCCTAAATTTAAAGAGGATAGACTTAAATTAGATTACCATTACGATTGGAGGGAAGATTATCTACTTTATTTAGGAATCAGATTTACTAAAAAAGAAAAAGATTTATTTTCAGCCAATTACAAAAAATTATTCAGAGATACAGAAAGCCAATTGAAAGCCTGGGGAAACGTATCATTATCATGGATAGGTAAAATATCAGCAATTAAGATGCAAATTTTACCAAAAATACTTTACCTATTCAGATCATTACAGATTAAGGTTCCACAAACATTTATTACATCTTTACAAGCTATATTGCTACGGTTTAGTTGGGGTGGGAAGCAACCCCGAGTTTCAAAAGGTTTAATAATGAGACAAGTGAAAAGTGGGGGTATGGGGTTTCCAAATTTGAAAATATACTATTCTGCTGCAATCTTAAACAATATAGCCTCTATTAACCCACAAAGATATACTCTGCAATGGGCAGCAATAGAAGCACATTGTTGTGGAACACAAGATTTTTATCCTTTAATATGGCTCCCCCCACAAAAACGGAAAGTAACCTCTGATATATTGTACCCGACAAGACTTCTATTTAAAATTTGGGATAGTAATAGAGGAAGTTTATGTTCAGGGTACCCATGGTCACTGGCAACCCCTATAAGAACTTTACATAGTTGTAACGAAACATTTCCTTATTTACAATGGCATAGAAAAGGAATTACACACATTTTTAAACTTTATACTATAGAGGGGTTAAAGTCTTTTCCGACTCTCCAATCAGAATTTACACTTCCGCCACAATTTAAATTTGCATACTTGCAGATTAAAGCTCTTTTGGCCAATAATAATCTATATGCAGGACACCGAACAACCCGAAAGTTAGTCACGAAATTTGAAGAGATGTGCATAGCATTAATTCCACCTAGGAAAGTACTATCACTTTGTTACAATAATTTAATAAATTCAAGAGAAACAGCAACACCTAAATTTATGATAGATTGGCAAACTGATATCCAAGAAATCATATCAGAAGATGAATGGAACAAGATTTTTACGGCACATTTGGGAATGTCTTCTTGTATAGGACACTTTGAAATAGCACGGAAAATCTTATATAGATGGTATATGGTACCTACTCGTATTCATGCAATGTATTCTGATGCACAAGATATATGCTGGAGATGCCACTCTCATAAAGGAACTATGCTCCATATTTGGTGGACATGTGAAAGAGTTAATAGCTTATGGCGAGAGGTTGAAATAATGATTCAAGAGGTGACATCTTATAAGCCAGACCACACACCGAAAATGCTACTTCTCAAAGCTTTTCCGGACCATATACCTAAAGTTACGCGTAAATTAATCTTTTTATTATTATCTATAGTCTCAATCTTTATAGCGAGAAATTGCAAGACTACAAGCTTACCTACAATAGATGAAATCAAAACATTAATGTCTCTGACTATAGATTATGAGCTTATCATGTGGGATCAGACTAAAATTGGGAAGTTAAGTCTAAAAGTAGCTAATTGTTGGAAAATGTATATACAAAGACAATAATGAAATAAGTTTGATAGATATGTGGAGTATATATTCAGTACAGGATATGATAAATTAAACTTATTTTTTCTATGGTTACTATCAGAAATATAATTTAGAATCCAACCCAGTAGAAATAAACGAATCGGCCCAGCCCTTCAGGATTGAGCCTCTGCAGTATAAGAGAGATGTGGTATATTACATACGTTGAGGGTATATGAGGTGTTAAAATTGAGTCTTTTTATTTATCCTGGTTAGGTGTGAACATAATTTAAGGCATATACAATAAGCAGGACATTTAATTTAATTTAATACTTAATTTAACTTAGTGTATTTTAACAACATTAAGCAGCTAAACTGAATATAAGCCTCTATTGTCAGTTTAATCTAAACATATGAAGACCGGAGTAGAGAGACATTTTTTTCATTTTTTTTTGTTTTTTACTTTTATTTTTTTTTCATTTTATTTATTTATTTATTTATTTTTTTCCTTCTTTTCTTTTTGTAACGGTTAAATTTCCCTGAGGTGAATTTTATAGTGGACACACCAGTATTTATCAGGGAAAATAAAACAAAACAAATGCGGTCAGGACGTATACATTATGAATTTTATTTAAATGAAGTATGAGTATAACATAACATTGTACGATGAGTATATGATGAAATAATGTAACTCTACCGACTGTACCCCAAACCCTTTTTTTTTTCTGTATCCCCTTGTTTTTTGTTCATTTTCCTTTACTGGAAATAATTTGGAAAATAAAGAAAAATGTAAATTGCAAAAAAGTATTAAACCAAAGTACAATGTCATATCATGTTGTAAAATAAAAGATAAGGGCTGCGCCAGAGAAAACTAAGTATGAGATAAAAATAACAAATAGTCCAAATAAAATAAGGAAAAAGTCTTATCTAAAATGATCTTTATACCTTTTACCTTTGGGAGAGCAAACACGTTAAAACAGGTTACAAAAGAATACTGACATTGGATAACAACTCAAATAGTTTTCCCTTCAGTGTGTCCCCACATATTTCTGAGGATTTTTAGCTTATCACGTGCCATTTGCAGAGAGAACCTAAACCATTTGTTTAATAGACTGATCAAACATGGCCGGTCCTAGGGCCACAGATGCTTGGATGCAGATTTTGTTTTGTTTCTCACGTGTGGGTGTGGTCATCTTACTAACTCCTCTCCTTGCACATGCATGTTTCTATGGCAATCACTCCACCTCTCCATCTATAAGCCTAGAGGGGTACCAGCTAAACCTCACTGAGGAGGTCTAACAAGTTTACATTTTGAAGTGAAGGTCTTGTACATCCTAAAAACAAAATGGGTTTTATATGAATGTAGTAAAGGGAGTCTCAGGAGATCCAGTTCTGCACCTCAATTCTCTTCCCCCTGGGATTAAAAAGTGTATCTGTGATAATATTTTGCTTGGTTGGGTAATATAAAGCTGGAAAAACGATGGCAATTTTTTTGCAATTGTACATGTGGGGCTATATGTCCAAAATGTTTGAATATCAAGACAAAATGAGAAATAATACCGGATGACCTTGTCCTTCTCTTGTATATATCCCCAAGTACATGCACAACCACTTATGTGTCAGGATGTGGACAAGCGAGGACCACCGCAGCACGTCTCTGGATCAACAGCAAAAAACAAATGTGAGGAAGGCTGAACTTGATGGACGCAAGTCTCTTTTCAGCTATGTAGCTATGTAGCTATGTAGCTATGTAACTATGTCTTCAATTATATTATAAACATTGCATCCATTTGTTACAGCCATGGGTGAGGATGTGGTGGAACAGTTGAATGTCCCCATGTATTATTATAGAGCTCACCACCTGCTGCCCATAGTTGACAGTGATATATCTTCTGTGTCAACTATCTTCTCACTGGCTGCTAGTGCTCTCAGTGGGAAAATAGCAAGGTATTTTTCAATGAATTTGCCAAAAGGCAATGACTTGTAATGACCAAATGGACAAATAATAGATTAAATCAGTCCTGATTTTCTTTACAACTGGTGCTCTGTAGAGTTGAGTGGACACCTGGATGTTAGGGTTCGCCGAGTTCGAACTCGAACTCCATTGAAGTCAATGGGGACCCGAACTTTTGGGCACAAAAATACCTCTAAAAAAGTCCCGGAAAGGGCTAAAGGGCTGCAAAAGGAAGTAAAATGGGGGTGAGAGTAGGACAAGTTCCCTGCAAACAAATGTGGATAGGGAAATCACTTACAATAACATAAAATACATATAAATTAAAGACACAGCAGAGCTATAAAATAGCACTAGATGGAATCTTTGATTTTAGCTTTAGGAAGAACATAAATCAAAATCTAAAGCATGGCTGTCAAGAGGATCACCAGAATTATCATTTTGAGAGAGGGTTGGAGCAGGGGCGTATTAGCCGCGAGGCAAACAAGGCATTTGCCTTGGGCGGCATTTTTCAGGGGGCGGCTAACTGACATCCCGAGCGGGCTGCGCTGGGAGGCGGGCGGCCGGCGAGGGAGCACCTCCTATGAGCTGACTGCTCAGCTCCCTCGCGCGCCGCCAGCAGAGTGAGGCTGGGAGCCGGAAGATGACGTCATCTTCCGGCTCTCAGCCGACGCGCGAGGGAGCCATGAGCAGTCATGGGAAGTGCTCCCTCGCCGGCCGCCCGCCTGCCAGCGCCGCTCGCCCGACCTGCAGCCACTGGACCACCGGACCACCAGGGAGAGAGAACCCCCACCCCAGCACTCCCAAAGGTAAGGAGGTTGGGGGGGGGATTTAAATTTAAAAAAAAGTTAGTGTGTGTGTTTGTGTCTGACTGTGTGTGTGTTTGTGTCTGACTGTGTGTGTGTTTGTGAGTGTGTGTGTTTGTGTCTGTGTATGTGTCTGACTGTGTGTGTTTGTGTCTGACTGTGTTTGTGTCTGTGTCTGTGTGTGTGTGTGTATGTGTTTGTGTCTGACTGTGTGTGTGTGTTTGTGTCTGACTGTGTGTGTGTGTGTGTCTGACTGTTTGTGTCTGACTGTTTGTGTGTGTGTTTGTGTCTGACTGTGTGTCTGTGTATGTTTGTGTATGTGTCTGACTGTGTGTCTGTGTGTGTATGTGTCTGACTGTGTGTGTGTGTGTGTGTGTTTGTGTCTGACTGTGTGTGTGTGTGTGTATTTAGAAGGTGGGGCGGGGGGAAGGGTTGGGTGGGGGTGAGGGGGGCGCCTGAGTTTTGTCCTGCCTAGGGCAGCACAAAACCAGTATACACCACTGGGTTGGAGTGCAGGCTATTCTCTCTCATTGTTCAAACTGAGCTCAACTCCTGATGCATGGAGAAAATGCCTTCACAAGCCTCTGCTATTGTGTACATTGTTGATACTAAGTGACCCAGAGGTTGAGGAGGCGGTGACTGTGGGTGCAGTAGGCAGACAACACTCTTTTTTATATTTTTATTTTTTAATTTTTTAATTGGGGTATCCCCCAAAATATTGAGACATATAAAAAAAGAAACATTTGCGGCCTGCAGTGCATTTCTTGCAGTCCAATAATGCCATCAGGTTTTTAAAACTGTCCGTCTCCACCAGACGGAATGACAGCATTTCAAAGGCCACACATTTTGGCCTCACATGCAGCTTGTGCTTTGTATGTAGATGTCTGGTCATGCAGGTTGTGCTCAGGTTTAGAATGTTCAGGCTCTGATTGCACAGCGTTCAAACCACTAGTGTCTTGTCGTCAGCACATCGTCTGAAGAACTGCCACGCCAGGGAACTCCTTGGAGCTGGCTTTGGTGTGCTCGGTCCCTGGGTGCAATGGGCAGAAGCAGGCATACTGTCTAGGCGACGGCCGCTCTGCTCCACTTTTGCACCCTGCTCCCTCTTAAGCTGGGCTGGTGCCTCTGTGCGACCACCGCCTCTTCCTCCAAACTGCACACGTCACTCACATGACCTTCATTCCATGTGGGGTCTAGGACCTCATCATCCTCCACATCATCTTCCACCCACTCCTCAACACTGCTCTCCTTGCCGGTCTGCACACTGTAGAAAGCAACGGCAGTTGGCACCTGTGTTTCGTCATAATCAGAGACGTGCTGCGGTGGTGGTCCTTGCATGTCCACATCCTGACACATAAGTGGTTGTGCATCAGTGCACTCAATCTCTTCTAATTTTGGGGCAGGTCTAGGTGGATGGCCCATGGAAACCCCGCCAGCAGAGTCATCAAATAGCATAACAGACTGCTGCATGACTTGTGGTTCAGACTGCTTGGCTGATTTGCAAGGGGGTGAGGTGAAAGACAGATGGCCATGGGCTGCAGGTGCCAACTCTTAGCTTTCAGCAGGGGACCGGGTGGGAGACAATGTGAAGGAACTGTAGGCACTGTCAGCCCACTCTACTATCGAGTGTACTTGTTCTGGCCACACCATTCATAGAGCGGCATTCGGGCCTACCAAATAAGGTTCTGTCACGTACTTGCACCAGAGGAAGGTTTTTTACTTGTGCGTGTAGCTGGCACAGATCGACCACGTCTTCTCCCTGCAACAGGATCTCCACCAACACCAGCAGCACTACGACCAGGGCCAAGTCCCTTATTTGATGCTCTCCTCATTCTTTGAGTTCACTCACCAAACTAACAGATGGTTTATGTCTGTCGACAATGTATCCGCCAATAGTCAATATTTTTTTTTTTCTTTAGTTTATTGGACTGCAAGAAATGCACCGAAGGCCGCAGGTGTACTTTTTAGCACTAAAGAAATGTGAATTAGTCAAACTGCAATGTCACAGCAGTATTTGACGGTTCTAATTGACTCTCAGATATGAAGTGCATACCCCAAATGTACTATTTAGTACCAAACATTTTTGAATTTTTAAAACTGTGCTGTAACCACAGTATTTGACGGTTCGATTTGACTTTCAGATACGAAATGCACTGCAGGCCGCAAATGTACTATTTAGCACAAAAAAAGTGAGATTTTTTAAACCAACAATGTAACAGTAGTATTTAAGGGTTTTATTAGACTGCAAGAAATGCAGTACGCAAATGTACTATTTAGCACCCCAAAAAAAATTGCAGTATTTAAAAATGCCTAGATGTTGCCCACTGAGTTACCAGAACAGGATTAAAGTAAGGTGCCTGGCACACATGCAGTTGCAAGTGCACTGCACTCTCTGTGGCACTGGGCTCAGGGCAGGGTACACAAATGTAGTATTATAGCACCCACAAAAATAATCGCTGTAGTTTGCAGATTCAACACCAGAATTATTTCCTAATCTTTCTCTCACAGCTGCAGCATCCTCTCCCTACACTAATAAGAGCTCATGTGAAGTGCGGCAATACGTGACTTTTATATAGAAGCTGGGTCACATGCTGCACTGGCCAATCACAGCCATGCCATTAGTAGGCATGGCTGTGATGGCTTCTAAGGGCACACAAGTCAAACGCTTGTTGATTGGCTGCCCTGCAGCCTTTCAAAACGCACCATTAAATCACAGAACACTGAACTCCAACCCGAACATGCACTGAAATGTCAGTGTTCGGGCCCGGGGTCCAAAAAACGTAATGTTCCGTACGAACCTAAACTTTATAGTTCAGGTTCGCTCAACTCTAGTGCTCTGTAAATGCTTTGTAAATGTCTGTATCCTATAGATTATATAGGCTTTGCATGTGTAAAGCACTAATTTGAAAACTGATGCATTCGGCTGAATGGGCAAAATTCATTGTCTAAGATTTTTTCTGAAATTAGGCTTTAGTAAATAGGAGAATTGCCAATATGCTTGGAATCCGGCCATTATTAAAAAAAACATTATAGTAATGAGTGAATAACTTCAATTGTGTACAATCACCAGCTAAGCCTCATGGTAGTGGGGACGTTGCTGGTGGCTTGGGCAATACTAGCTACAGCAAGTGGGAGGACTTTTGGTTTTACTTAACATGTCACTCAAAGGACTGGGCACCTGTGGTCCAATAATTAAAATGCTGAGAGGGTTTAGGCATCCTCTGGTCCTTTACTTTGCTACATGAAATCTGATTTATGTAGGACTGTTTTCCAAAAAAAAAATGTTATAGAGAGGAACATGCACGCATACTGCATACATATGATTAGAAAATTAAATAATATCAACATTAATCTAATATTGATTTCAATCGAAGCAAATTTGTTTCTTAGTTTAATATTCTGAGCTAAGAGCCCAAGATATTCTTCACCCACCCTTAAAGCCAACATTCCAAGTATGCAAACATTACATTGTAAATTAGACATGGGGTGGAATTCACCAATTTGAAAGTGACAGAAACTGAAAAAAATAAATAAAAGGGATTCATACAGAATGAATCAAAACAAATTATTTCAGGTCTGTTTGTTTTAACAAAGGTAGAAAATTAGAGCATTATCTACTACACAAATGAAAAAACAAAAATAAGGAAAGGGCCCCGTCTGTGATATCTCTGGCTGATTAAATGACATATCCCAGTCTGTGATATCAATGGCTGGATGGATGATATATTCCCAGTCTTTGAAATATGTTTATGTTATGTTGTGTAACTTTGCGACCGACTGCCAGCTTTACTCATTCACCCTTAGGGAATAAAGGGCTTCTGAATTTCAGAAATGAATCAAGTTTTTGGACAAAAGTCAGTCATTCCAAATCAACATTTTACAAATTTTTAACAAACCTAACTTAAATGCATACATAAGTTGTTATCATATCAAGATACCTGAAATTCTAAATGCTATATTTTCTCTGGTATAATATTCTGAATTTCTGTTTGCTTTATTAACACAGATAGTAATTGCCAGAAGTGTCCTGATAATGAATGGCCAGATGAGAGAAAGGTGAATTGTATTTCCAAAACAAATGAATTTTTATCATATGAAAAGGAAATCATGGGACCACTTTTTAGTTCCATATCTATATTATGTTCAGTCATAACAATCCAGATATTAGGAATCTTCATATGTTTTCGGGACACTCCCATTGTCAGGGCTAATAACTGTATCCTCAGTTTTCTTCTCCTGGTTGCCATTATGCTGAGCTTCCTCTGTGTGTTTCTGTTCCTTGGTCGTCCTGTGGATATTACCTGCATATTGCACCAGGTCTCCTTTGGAATAATCTTCTCAGTCGCTGTATCTTCTATTCTGGCCAAGACTGTCATGGTTTGTATTGCCTTCAAAGCCACCAAACCAGGCAGCTTCTGGAGAAAGTGTGCAGGAATGGGTGTGTCTAATTGTATAGTCTTGATATGCTCCTCTATCCAAGTTCTGATTAATGTTATCTGGCTGTCTATTTCTCCTCCTTTCCTGGAGTTTGACATGATATCTTACCCTGGGAAGATCATTATCCAGTGTAATGAAGGTTCTGTTATTGCTTTCTATTTGGTATTAGGTTACTTGGGGATCCTGGCAGCTATAAGTTTTGTTCTAGCTTTCATGGTGAGGACATTGCCAGACAGTTTTAATGAAGCCAAATACATCACCTTCAGCATGCTGGTATTCTGCAGTGTTTGGATTGCAATGATCCCGGCCTATCTGAGCACCAAAGGGAAATACATGGTGGCTGTCAAGATTTTTGCCATATTGGCTTCCAGCGCTGGGATACTGGGATGTATATTTTTCCCCAAGTGTTACATTTTGGTGATAAGACCAGAAACAAATACCAGGAAACATATATTTGGGAAAAAAATAAGTCATAATAAAGATATTTTTTTCAGCAAATTTACTGCAAGGTACATACAGAATAACATATGCATTTATGTACTGGGCAAACTATTCTCCATATTAATGTGATTTCTGAAGACAAATATGTTAGTACCGAAACCTTAAATAAAATTAAATAAATAACCTAAAGAAAAACACTAAAATAGTACACTAACTTTGATACTACATAATTAATGTGAAAACTTTCCTTGTATACTTGGATTGCTTCGTGTGTGTGACCAGATCTCTCATTTGTCCACAATAGCTATATGTTCACTCACCTGACCTCAAAATAGGATGATTAATAGTGCAAGAGCAGATCCTCCAAAGCAGATTTTTGTTTATAAAAAGACTTCTATGTGGTTAAAATATTGTTCTCTACTAATTATGTTGGAAGAATATAATTCTTCTGACATCTATAGTCTGCCAGTTTTATTTTTTTCCCTAAATTCAAGTTTTATTGTCATTTAGCAACAATAGTAATAAGCAGTGAAAAA